GGAGCCTCAGCGCCCCGGCTCCGGAGCTCGTCGGGGCCGGGGGGAAGCGCGCTCGCTCCCTCCCCGCGGTGCTGGCCCTCGGTGCCCCGAGGCCTTGCCGCCTCCGTCCCCTCGGGCTGCCCTTCCCCTGCGCTGCTGCCACCATCCCGTGAAGGTTCAACGAACGGGAGCGGAGGGAAGGCTTGCAGCTCGGGTTCGAGCAGCTGGAGACGGGAGCTGCCCCAGAGCCCGTGCAGGGAGCAGGGTGCTGTGGCAATGCGGACCGTCCCGGGTGCGTGTCCCACCTACGGTAGATAAGAGGGTATATCTGCATCTCAGGAGCAATAAGAAAAGCAGCCAGAAGGCCTCCAGTGAGTGCTGTTAGAGGAGGGCTGGGTCTCCTTTTTGCAAAACGGGCACATTCCAGCACGAGCTGCCTCTGCCGACTAGTGATGAGCAGAATATTTGGCCCTGGAAATATGCAGCCAGCAGAAAAAGTGGGGACTGTTCAGCAAGTCCGGACTGGGACCAGACCAAGCGTTTCCAGAGATAAATCTTCATCTCTCTCACAAGCTGTTTACCTTCCTTAGGCTAATATTAGTGATTCTCTTCCTGTTTTCCTCTTTGCTCATGTAAAATGATGAGGCCTTGACTGCTGTGTCCACTGCTGGTAATTGAGATGATAAATCTTCCTGCTGCAGACTGGCTTTAATCAGAGCATTGTGTTTGGATGCGATTTAATGACTCTCATGCTGCTGAGTTCGGGCAGGACTCAGGAGAGGTGAGAGCCATTTATATGTTACTTGGCTTCACCGCTGCTCCCACCTTGCTTGCCCTCAGCTTGGAGCCGTGTTTGCCGCCCCGGCCCCTGGAGCAGCCGCCCGTGTCTGACAAGCCGTACCTCTGGCGCGCTCTGGCTTTGTCCGTGCCATCCCTGCTCCGCCTTGCAGTCAGGCAGCTGTGTTGACATGCACAAAACCCACCACTTCTCCCAGCCGTTGTGCAAGTGCTGGAAAGCAGAGTCGTCCAGCCGGGTCTTCTAATCTGCATTTTGTTCTCCCAATTTGCTCAGATAACGCGGCTTAAAATTCCGCCCCTGGCTCTTCTGGCTGCTGTACTGATGTAATAATTCTGAATTCAGTATTGTACCAATTTGGTCTTGATGCAAAGATATTGGATTGCAGGCTGCACCCAATGCAATGGGTGTGAACTATGTTTCCCGAGGTGCTGCAGCCACAAAATCCAGCTGCCCACAGCCTGCTGGTTTTGCCTCGGACTGCAGAAGAGCTGTGGAGCCGCTTTCTGCACGAGACGCCGCTGCTGGGACTTGCCTGGGTGCGCGGGCAATGGTGCAAAGGGCGCTTGTGCCCCAGCGGTGGTTGGATCTGCAGCCTCGCAGTAGAGGTCCTGGCATAAAAAAAACCAAAACACTGCGCTTCATTGTGAGTTTGTGTGAGGGGGTATTTCAAACAGAAAAATCCAGCTCTTGTGCTTGCGTGTTGCTGTTCGGGCCGGCAGGGGAGTCGGCAGCCGGTTGCCGTCCGGCATCGCTGCTCAGCAGAGACAAGACCCGGATCCCTCCCGCCCTGCCGCGGGGCAGTGCCCGCGCATCCCCGCGATCCCTTCGCCTCGCCACCAGCTGCGGCCGCCTGGGGCAGCAGGACAGCAGTCCGCTGAGCGGGGAACGAGATGCAGTTCTGTATCGGCATATTTGAGTCAGGAGCGTTGCCCTGTTCTGATTACTTTCGTGGCCGAGTTAAGAAAGAATACGTGGGAACGCAGCTGAAGACTCAGCGGTGCGTTTGCGTGCCAGCTGCAGCGTCGCCGTGCACGGGGTCCGGGTGCTGCGGGACCTCGGCGCTCTCCCCCTCTGTCCCCGCGCCCGCCGGCTCCGGCACGCTGCGGCGATCCTGCACCGGCCTGGTGCTGCTGCACCCACCGCTCTGCTTCCAGCCTCTCCCCTTGTTCTGTGTGTTTTCCGTGTCTCTTTCCTCAGTCTTTGCAGATTAATAGCATTCCAACTCCTGGAGGAAATGCAGAAAAACGGCATGTTTAATTTTAATTTAGGAAACCGTTTAGGTAGCAGCCTAGTTTCCTTGCTCCTGTCAATCAGGTTTTCTCAAGGCTGACATCAATTAGTTTAAAAATATTGAATGTAATTTTGCCTGACACAACATATTGCAGCTACTGCAAAATATAATTTATTTTAGAAGAAGAAATAATTAAACTAATTTGCATGTCAGTCAGCTGAGCTGGAATACCAGGGAGAGATGCTGCAATGGAAGAAGATGCCCTCTTCTTTTTTTTTTTTTTTTTTAAATTCTCTTTTCTTTTAAACTGATCGCGCTCAGCCTGGCACGTGCAACCTTCCACCTATCTGCTGGCCAGGTGCTACTTCTGTTTTCTGCAGACTCCC